ATATATTCCAGTCAACAATTATAGACTTTTCTAGGTATGTATTCAAACTGTTTAAAATATAAATAACAGTACAAAATTTAATACTAATTATTAAGTGAATATAATGCAATTGCGAATATTTTAGATGTGATAGGTGTACCATTAGGACCTTTTCTGAAAGTGTCTTTGTCTTCCATAAATATATATAGTAACTTTGCAGATCAAATGCTATTATTGAGATTTTTCTCTTAAAGAATAAAGGAAGGAGAGTGGCATTATAGATAGTATGTTGGAAAAATCCTGATCATTAACTAGTAATTGTCAAAACTGGGTAATGGAATTCTTTATACTATTCTCTCATCTTTCATGTATCTTTGACATGTAGAAGGTCACCTACTTGTAAGTGAGGGGTGTGGAATAAGAAGTTGGAGTTCGGTAACTTAGCCAAATGGCCAAAAGGAATTTGGTGTGAGAAAATCTAAGACAATCACCTTTATTCATTGATAGAAAGATGAAATTTGGTGGACTGTTATGGAGTTATGCATCCTTAGCTTATTATTAATGTTCATTACAACATAGCTCTTGTTACAGCTGAAATTCCATGCTGTTAGAAGAGGAGACCTGTAAATAATTGAAGTACGATTGCCTAATTGGCAGAGGAGAGACAGAAGGGCTGGTGATTACAGGTGAGGGGAAAGGTCAGAGAAAGCTTCGTCATGGAGAATATTTGAAATGTGTCTTGAAAGACGTTAGAAGTTATCAGTTACAAAAGTTTATGAAAAGAAAGGATTTAGAAGAGATGAATACAGCAACCTATTCAAGAGGAGTAGCATATGCAAAGACATGAAATTACAAAATAGCATGGTGCTCTCAGTAGAATCAGTGCGAGCGTTAGGCCAGAGTAGGCATCAGTAGGAGAAGAAATTAGATGGCAAACCATAGTCTTATTGCACAGGGCCTGCCATATCAAGGGAAGCAGACTAAGCTGGTTCTCATAGGAAACCAAGGAAAGGTTCTAAGCAAAAGACAAAGATAATTAGATTTTACTGTGAAGTAATCTCTGCTTGCGACAGAAAGCCAGCCTGGAGAACAAAAAGACCTCTTAGTCCATTGGAAAAATGAAAGAGACACAAGTTACACAGTGAAAGCTGAGCTTGAGATGGAAAGAGTGACTAACACACAATTTAATTCATTTACACTTTTCCTTGCACTGACCTTGACTTAGATAATCATTTCCTGTCTTTCCTTTGGTCTACCTCCGTCTCTCTCGAACTGCCTATGCGCTCTGTGAGGGGTAACAGGCACAGAAATCTGCCTAATCATTGAAGCCAGAACCCTGAACATCATCTCTTTTCTCTACTTATAAAACTTTCTCTGATATTCCCTTTGCCTTGCCGGTGTTGTCCTTTCTGCTGTCATACCACGATGCATGTTTTTAAGGATACACTGCGGTCACGTTGCTTTACACTTCAGATTGAAGACTATATTATTTATTACCAGGTCTAATTCAGTACTTGAGTCTTGGTGGTTTACTTCACTTAAATTTGTATCAGGTGAATTTTGGTGCCGGTAATTTAAGAGACCCTGAATAATGTTGGTACAATTCAGGCTATTTTCTATTGTAAATCAGAATATAAGACCAACAGATACTGTATCTTTGAAGATTATTAGACACTGTGGAAAACAGGTAAAGAGAGGGGGCCGAGTAAAGGTTGATCAGTAGGTAATAAGATAGAGTTAGATTGGAACATGAAGTTCTCCCAGGCGGCATAGCGGGGTTTGGGGGCTGCCCATAGGACTGCAATACTGTCCTGGGTGTTTCAAAAGCTAGAAGACAGGATTTTGAAAGTTATACTCTAGAAAATGAAAAATGTTTGAAGAAGTAAATATGCTTAATGTGATGGAAACATCATACATTATATACATGTATCAACTCATTGCATGGTATCCTAGCAAGACACATAAATTTTACATGCCTTAATATATGAGTTCTAAAAATTTTTAAGTTTTTAAAACATAGAGAGCATTAATTAAACATTTTATAAAAGTTTTCCTAAGTATTAGTGTCTCACCATAAAAGTGAGATGTAAAGGAGAAAAATTAAAAGAAATCAAATAATACAAAAGAACTTTGAATCAACTCAGGAATTTTCTAAAATGGAGATGAAATTGCCCAAGATAATCTCGTGTATTCTCCTACATAACAGAACCTATAAAAAATTAGCATTTTCACACTAACATAAGCTGTAACTTTAATTGAAAAAAGAAAGTTTTTCTTTTTGAGAAAGTGGGTTTTTAGGGCCAATATACTTTGAAATATTATTTAAATTAATAGTCAAGCTTTTAAACAAACACGTATACTGTATGTATGCCCATATGATTTTTTTGTGACAAAGAATAGTGTGAGAATTGGAGTAAAATAAAATAAATAAAAATGCAAAAACCACACACACACACACGCATGTGCGTGCGTGCACACACGCACGCACGCACATATACATATAAGTTTTTATATAACGGAAAGTGGTTTAACAGTCTCCATAAAGATAAAGTCGATTAAAATACATTTTAATCATTCTTTTAAAATAATAATTTTGAATCATCTCTCCCCATTTTATCAGTTCCATGTTTATTTTTTGTTTGTTTGTTTGTTTGTTTTTTTGAGACAGGGTCTCACTGTGTAGTTGAGACTGACCTGGAACTCACTATGTAGCCCAGGCTGGTCTCGAACTCACAGCGACCCTCCTGCCTCAGTCTCCCGAGTGCTGGGATTACAGGCATACACCACCACACCCAGCTTTATCAGTTCCACATTTAATCATGAATAATTAGAAGGCAAAAATATTTTCTGGTTTTAAAAGTATAGTAGATAGTTTCCTAAACTATATTAAACATTCTTTTTCTTTGCAATGTATTTCCTAGCACGCTCATATTCATTATTATCAAGAACTACTGCTTAAGTGAATTGTACTATTACAGTTGGTATATTATGAACATACATGTTTAGTGATTTTCACAGTGTCAGAGTAACTTTTCCAGTTTATCAAAGCTGACATAAAATACATTCCTATATGTACAGTTCTAGGTGTGTTAAATGTTGCATATTATTAATACTTAATTTAATTAGGTGATATTAATAAAACACATTCATAAAGGTTACAGGATTATCCCTTGGTGAGAATTCCTTCAAGCATAGACAGTATCTAATATATTTATAAAAATTTTAGCTATAAATACTATAACTCATCCAGAAGGAAGACAAATTAGAAAAATAACAGTACATTTTTATAAATAATGTTCTTGTATAAGCTTAAGATATACAATAATTATTATTACTTTTTAACTAGGAAGCAATACGTGCATTTTTTTCAGACCAATCCAATGAAGTCTGGTGTCTGCCAACATTTACTTTTCTTAACTACTAAGCAGTACAATAATATGCTTTTATAATGACTGCAGACGAGCTATGTGAATAGAAATGGACCTTGTTTTGGTTTGTGAAATTCCACAAAGAGCTAAACACATTCTCAATATGCTACATGATTCAAGTAGTAGGCTTGTAGCAAGCTATTATGTACAATAAACACTCATCCATTTCTAACCAAATTGGATACAAATCAGAATAAATTTGCAGATAGCGAGAGTCTAGTTAACTGCACTGTCTAGGATGCTTGCATCTTAATTTAAGAGAAAATCTTCAAATTGGGTTCGGTGCTGCCACAACTTAGGTTAGTTTATCTGTATTTTAACAGCAGAAATACATTTTTCATTTTGATATATTGCATTACCTGAAAAATAAATTGAGAATAACAAAAACATCTTTAAATTTTCATCAGAAGGATCATTTCTCCTACTGATTTTCAGAAGTGGCTCATCTTTTCCAGTTTCCCCTTAGTATGCTAAAAATGGTATAGTTTCCCACTGGCAAAAATAAATATCTGCATTTGGATCTTTTTGTGAAAAAGTACCACCATTATTTTATTTTTAATGTTTGAGTTAAGACAAAAACAAAACCAAGGCCCTGGTTTAAATTCTACCCCAGACATTCTCATAATTTTTAGTTCTGAAAATTTTCTTACATATTATTAATCTATTAACCCTTAATACCCCATGATCATCTTTGAGGAGCACAACTAGTATCCTACCATTTTAAATATGTAAATGCTTCTTGCCTTTGAAATATCTTAATTAGATCAATGATTTTGATGGA